CTCCTCTTCCACCCTTTCCTCCTCCTCCTCTTCCACCCTTTCCTCCTCCTCCTCCTCCTCCTCCTCCTCCTCCTCCTCCTCCTCCTCCTCCTCCTTCTCCTCTTCCTCCTCCTCCTCCTCTTCCACCCTTTCCTCCTCCTCCTCTTCCACCTTTTTCTCCTCCTCCTCTTCTACCCTTTCCTCCTCCTCCTCTTCCACCTTTTTCTCCTCTTCCTCCTTGTCTTCTGGCAAGGTCTTGCAATGTAACCCATACACAATTATTGTCAACCACAGCTACCTTTCTGCACAATAAGACAGGATTCCTCCCTCTAACGACACACTTTCAATTATTTATTACTTTAACTCTCTCTTCTGATTTAAGCAGTTGAACTCAGAGCGCTGCGTGAGTCCCTACAAGTGTGGTCCACTGCGGGCCCCACAAGTTCACCATGGGAACAATGGGAAACATTATCATTCTAGTCCTTGCCATCACCACCTGTACAACCACTGATATTAGAGACAGCAGACACTCTTCAGTGAGAGAAGTACCTGAACCAGGCCTCACCCAGAGAAGGCTGCTCCCTGCAGCTGTCACTCTCAGGATATTCGAGGACAGCTAGGAATACTGATGATGGTGGCAGCCTGCGGACCCAGGCTAAGCCTTGCTCTGGACAGCTCAGCCTGACAGGCGCCGGGCTCAACAGCTCTCTGCCAGGATTGCAGACAGGCCAGCTTCCTCTCTACAGTCTGGTCTTCACCACTAGACGACAAGGAGTGGTAGCATGAGCCCATGGCGGACTTGCCCCCACTGCGACCCCCACTGCACGGTGCCACTGTTGCCACTGTTCGAGAAGCAGATGTACACACACTCGGGCTAAAGACATTATGAGAGGTCAGCTCAACCCTGAACACAGCACACCCTATAGACATCACCTCGGCATGTATTACAGAAACCATACTTTAAATTTTGAATTTTTATCTTTCTTTTGCCTGGTGCCATGCAGTTGGACCCTTTCTTATTTCTTTTAGCTCACAATTCTCCTGCCTCAGCTTCTTGAATGATGGGTTCCCAGGAATGTGATGCCATGCCTATCTAATGATGGGAGATATTCAACAAACCTACCCGGATTCTCATTAAAACCAGACTAAGCAGGCCAAAGACAGAACTCAAGGTCAGGACTGGTTCACGTGAAGACTCAAAGGGGTGTGAGTCAAGCTGAGCCACAGGAGCCCGTCTCCCCCATAATGCTGCCATCATAACCAGCTATAATCAGTGGGCTAATTTTCATAATTGCTAATTAACCCTAATAACTAGTTTGCATGATAAGAGCTGCCTGGCTCTGCTTTCTCCTCCAACAGAGGAACATTTTCACCTTGGGCTCATCTGGTTCAGTAGGTGGCAGGACCCAGTGCACCCCAGGCACCGGCACTGGCCTCTTCCTGGACTGCAGTGGCTCCCCCACCCACCCAGGGGACCCATCGACATCACTCCACCCCTCTAAGGTTCCCAAGGGGCCACCCTAAACCAGTTTCCTGTGTCTTTCCAACACCAGTCTTTGTTTGTAAGAGCCTTGAAGCTTGTCTCTGCCTTGCTCGGCTCTCCCCATCTCCATAGTGTCTCCTAAGAATAAATATTAAACCCTTTCTCTCCATGACCTGATAGTTGGGTCTTCACCACTTCACCTGGCTGCTATTAACGTCTGAGTTTCTGCTTTCTGCAGATTAATTGACAAAAAGAAAATCCTTTGTCCTCCTACCTGGTCACACCCACAGTGTGACTCTGTGAAAGCCGCAGAGACACAGAGACCCTTGAAAGCCAGTTTGAAGTGGCTTAATTCCAGGGCCATGATTGGCCAGCTGTGCCAACCAGAGCAGGTCAATTAACCTCCCCCAGCCCTGACTTGTTCAGATGTCTGGAGTTATATGGACAGCGGGTTTGCTCCAGCAGCGCTAGCAGTGGGCCTCCCTGCTGGGAGGATGAGCTGTTGCTTCTTCCTTTTTTACGGGCAGAGGCCGTGCTGAGCCTGTGGAAGAAGCTAAGTGGGATGGAGTGGGATGGAGATGGCTGCTGTGTTAGCTGCTTTCCCTCATCCCTGCAATTCCTGACCGAAGCAACTTAAAGAAGGGAGGGCCAGTTTTCAGCTCACGGGTAGCGGGTACATCCATCATGGCTGCTGGAGGACGGGGCAGCATTAGCACCAAGAGGCAGGGGAGACGTGGGATGCTCGGCTGGCTTTCTCCTTTCCACGCAGCCTGCAAGCCCAGCCCGTGGAATGGTGGGTAATGGTGAAGATGGGCCTTCCTCCTCCACTAGCCCATCTAACCCTCCCTCACGGACTAGCTCAGCCCTTGTCTCTAAATCTTGTCCGGTTGATATAACCATTAAAGCCACATTGACTGACAACTGATGTGTACTCGTTTGGACTAAAGAAGGTGGGAGGAGGGCTGGAGACTACATGGCAGTGGGAGGGGTACCTGGATGAGGGGCAGAGGGAGAGAAAGGAACAGAGAGGAGGATGCTGGCCAGAATGAGGAGTGCACCCAGCCCCCTCCAGCACTCTGACCACCTCCCTCTTGTATCCCCCATGTCTTCTTAGTCAGCCCGCTGCTCAGTCTGTCTAAAGGCAAAGGCCAGCTAGGGACCTCTGCATGGCTGAGTCAGGGGCTCCCTGTCTGTCAGGACCTGTGGAGCCCTCCTCAGAACGATACTTTCAGCTGATTACAGAGGCGAATACATTTAGCAAAACACTCAAGACTCTTCATGTGGGAACATGCACGCTGTTTTGTGAGCATGTTAAACAAGACTTGGCGGAGGCCTAATAAGCGCCCTGCTCCAGAGGCTGCACATCGGAACACCTGCGGCAGCTGCCGTGGGACGTGGAAAGGATGGATGCTGCAGGTCACTGAATCCCAATGCCTGCCCCATCACCATGGTGCGGGAGAATGACGAGTGGCATTTACAAGCTGCAGAAATAAGGGTATAAATTGTTTCCCAAACTGGTTCACAGATTCTGAATTCTGTGGACTCCGAGCCTGACCTCACCTTCCTGCCATTCCCTAATGGCTGCTCCTCCACTGTCTCGGAGTCCACGGGGCCTCGCCATGGAGGGGGTGCCTGTTTTAATCTCTGCTATTTCTCATTTTGGTTTCCACAGCAGCCTCCCTGTCTCGCGGTGGCTAGGATGGTGAGACACTCCGTATGTGACAGGCAAGCACGGCCACTGAGCTATAGCCCCAGCTTCCTTTTATCTTTTACTTAAAAACAGAGTCTCTAAGTTCCACAAACTGGCCTTGAACTCAGTCCGCAGTCCAGGCTGGTCTTAGTACTTGTGATCCTCCTGCCTCAGCTTCCACAATAGTTGGGATGACAGGCCTGTACCCAGCTTCCTACTGTCATGCTGCTTGGTTCCATCCAGGCCCCACCCTGAATTCAGAACTCATCCCTAGTACGAACCTGATCCTGTCACTCCTTATCCCCTTGCTCTGAACAGCTCACTGACCTCTGTGCATGCAGGACGAACCTGGGAGGCCTCTGTAAAGCAGCAAGGTACCTCAGCTCTCCAGCCTCGCCTCAGCACCTTTCTCCTCCTGTCTCTGCCTTCCTGCCATGCATGGCTCCTTCACACCCCACTTTAGCATCACACTTCCTAGGGAGGAGTGGATGGCCCTCCCGCCTGGGACAGAGACGTACCCAGGCCACATTATGATAACATCACATCTTTCTTCAATGCAAAAAAACAAAAAAAACAAAAACAAAAAAAACCTTCCTATGAGCAAGTCTTCTTCCTCATCCCCTAAACCCAGGCCAGTGACTAGAACCCAGCAGACCTTCAGCGGATGCTGATTGAACAAATGAATAAAAGACTGGAAAGGGCAGGAGGGGTCTCAGCCGGGAGCACCAGGAACTAGACAGAGCCAGATGCTGTGCTAGGCTATCGCTAAACCCTTCCCCTTTACATGGACTCCCCCAGGTCCTTGTGGTGCATTTGATCTGGGGAGCAGGCTCTAACTTGTTGAGTTCAGCTCTCTGTTCTTTGAGAAATCCCTCTGGTTTCTATACATACCTCAATTAGAGGTGATTATGTCCCTTGTCAAAGGCAGTTCTTCCAGTGCATGAAGAATGGGATTGTCGGGATTATAGAAATTCAATTTGCACATGGTCTTTTAGGAACAGATGCCTTACAGAGGCTAGCCAGCATGGCTGGTCAGCCCCGAGGACAATGGCCACACTCTGGAGCACTCTCTGCTCCGCACTCTGGGACTGGATTCCATGCATCTAGGGCCAAGGCCCTGTCTTGGTGTGCTTTCTCCATCTCTCTGAGTCCTGGGGGCGGGGGCGGGGGCTTCTTCCTCACCACCTCCATAAGGGGAGGTCCAAGGCAGAAGTCCTCACTGCCGATGAACTCACCTTTTGTTCCTCCCTCTCCTTCCTTCCTTCCTTCCTTCCTTCCTTCCTTCTTTCCTTCCTTCCTTCCCCTATGGCGAGGGATGGAACTTGGATCTTTATGCTCTGACACTAAGCAGCAACCTCAGACAGAAGGGATCCTTCTCTGCAGCCCTGTGGGACCCCCCTCCATGTGCCCCTTTTCTTCACCTCACTGTCTTGTTCTCCTCTGCAGCCCTGTGGGATCTTCCTCCATGCACCCCTTCCCTTCACCTCACTGTCTTGTCCTCCTTTGTAGCCCTGTGGGATCTCCTCCACTCACCCCTTTCTATCACCTCCCTGCCTCATGCCCAAACCCAACATACATTCCTGCGGCACCACACATTCATGCTAAGCACCACACGGCTGACCCTGGGTATATATGTGCGCTTGTCACTATAAAGCCAGACCCTCATGCCCAGCATGCTGTGGACATTTATAAATGGTAGGGTCTGGGCTCAGAAGATATGCAGTAGCCTGTGCTCTTCCATCCTCACAGAGGATGTCCCCAGGCTCCGGTACACAGCATCCCTTGGGGCTGAGCCAGGGGAAATGAGCAGTTGCCCCGCCTCCCCGCACTGCTCTCCACACTCCTTACCTGAGAGCACCGTGAAGACGGCAGCAAAGGCGTTGAGCTTGAGCCCGTCTATGACGCTGCTGGAGTGGACGAGCTCAAGACACATGAGGCTGAAGCCGACCACCAGCAGAAGGATGTAGAGCACCTCGGAGACCACTGACAGCCACAGCACCCCTAGAGAGCAAGGCAGGAGCAGGTGAGGAACGGTCCACCCTACGCAGCCAGCACACCCACCAAAGACAAGGTCACTGCAAACCCAAGCTCAGTTCTAGGTTTTCCTGGGCTGTGCCACCCTGACGGGCCAGTGTGGGGTGAAGATGACACTGAAGGCATAGAGCAGGGCCCCTTCATCTCAGCCCTGAGGTTCCCCCTACTGCAGACTCTACATGGGCAAAGTTTCCATTGCTAAGTCCACTGGGGGAGGGTCTCTGTTACCTGAGCGACAAATGTCCCTAATCCCATTACCTGACCTCAAGCCTTGCCTGTGCCTTTACCTACCCTGCACTCTCCCTTGTACCCTGTACTACCTCCTTCTAGAAACCAGCACTGCCAAGTCTGTGGCTTTGGCCTGTGGTTCTCCCAGGAGCTGCTGTGCTGTGCTGTGAGCCTGGACATAGATGATTGATCGAATTTGATCACTGGCCTAGAAATGATCTGTCACGGCCCTTTTCTAGGACTCTGAGCATGATGTCACTGAGATGGACCAGGAGAGAAGCTCACAGGTGCCAGTGAGAAAGATCATCTGGCTTCAGCCCTTCCTAAGGGATGCCGCCCCTCAGCCCTTCTAGGTTTTGCTGTGTCTTCTGGGTTTTCGCGTATGGGTCCATCTTGGGCAACTAGCACTGCTACCCAGTTTAGGAACAGCTGCTGTTTTCCTGTCCCACAATGTCACTCCCTCCTCTTCCTGTCACTTGCAAGGCGCCTGCTTTCTTCTGGTCTCTGGTTTCCTTGAGAACCCCATCCTGGCACCTTGTCTTAAGCCAGCAGTTCATGTCCAGCCAGGCCAAGCTTCTCGCCACCCAACTCCGGGGCTCAGGAGCCAACTCTGTGCCTCAGTTTCTTTTTCTATAAAGTAGGGGTACTACTAAAAGCTGTGGTGCCAGCACTGGGGGAGAAGTAGTTTCTGAGTACCATGTAACACTCTAGTTCACCCAGTGAGGGACCTGGTCACTGATCCGCTCATGCCGTCATGTGCACAGAGCATGCTGACTCGTGGGAATGGAGCCCAGGGGCTTCCGACTGAGGTCATCAATGGAAGATGGAGTCAGTGGGGTGAGATGAGCTTGTGGGTCCATGGAAGGGGGCGGTATAAACAGTAGGAATGGAGACCCACCCAGCATGGATCCCCACCCACACCACACTGATGTGTTTGGCGATTATGAATCAAGCCTGGCAGGTTGGCAATAAACCCAAGACCACTCCGTTCTGTGAGAGCTGGCCACAAGAAGGTTGCAAGAGCTGGTGGAAAAGAGAAACCTGGCTCAAGGTTGGGAAGATGAAGATAGTCAACCGTCAACTTTATACAGTCGAGAGCCGCCTGGGAAGAGACTCTCAGTGAGGAATTGCTTGAGTTGGGTTCTACTGAGGATGTGACTATGGGGGGTTTAGTTAGTTAGCTAGTTAGTTAGTTAGTTAGTTAGGTCAATTGAAGTGAGAAGAGCAGCCTAAACGTGGGTGGCTCCATTCCTTGGGTTTGGGTCCTGAATTGTATGAGGAGAGATGAGCAGTCGGCATGCGTGTGTTCATTCTTTGTGCTCGGCTGCGCACGCACGTGTGACCAGCTGCTTCCTACTCCTACCTCCAAGGATGGCAGAGCTGGGCTCTGAAGGGACCAGCGGTTCTGTCTTTGCCCAGGAACCTCTGGGGATCCACGGGGCCTGGGATCAAATCCAGGCTGTTTCACTGGCCATGAGGGGCCCACTCAGAACCTCAGTGATCTCTTCTGTGGAATGGGCTCTGGAAGGGGGATCCAGGAAGTGACTGCTTCCCAGAGAAATAGTCATTGCAGTCCTTTAGGAAGGGAATGTCCTCAAGAGACATGCGTAGAGGATGTGGGGATGCAGGGAGGACAGGAGGTAGGTGCTCAGCCGAAGGATCGTGTCTGACCCATAGTGGCACCATTGGGAAGCAGTATCTCAGAGCTGTGTCAACCAGGGCCTTACTGCCATCCTCGCTGGAGGGCACAGAGGGAAATGCATGTTCTGGTGGGTAAACAGAAAAGGCTCCAGGGATCCCCAAAGATCTCTATGGGCACTGGGAGATTGGTGGGACCTCAGTGTCATTTATTGCTGGGTCTGAAACTTAGCATGACAATTACAATGTCTATTATTATGATTTTGCTTGTGTTTCATAGATAAGGTCTTACTAGATAGCCCAGGTTGGCCTGGCACTTGAATCCCCGCTTCCATAGTGCTGGGATCAGAGTGGTGTGTCACTGTGCCTAGCCTGTTATTATTATTAGCTTCTTTGACTTACATGGGCAGAGCTTTCTTGCATGTGCTCCAGAGCCCAGTGAGAGGATAACGAGCTGAATCTAGCCAATCCCCCAGCCTACTTCTGGGGTACAAGTGCCAGGTTCTCTATCCTCACCAAATCAGGGGTGCTCCCCGCTGGCACTTTATGCGGCTGCCTAGTGATGCCCTGGTTACTAGTACCCACTCTGCCCCCAAGGAACCAACCCCACTCCCAAGAGGCAAATAAGAATCCCCCGAAGCAGTGACTGAGATGCAGGTGGCACAGCTCAATTTCCTCAAAAGATCGAAATAGTGAGTTGAACCAGAGAATGAAGAAGCAGTTCTAAAACTTCTCATTACCTCCATCCAAAGAGTCCTTAGGGGTACTAACAATGCATTCTTAAAACCTTTCTAATGGTTTTCAATTTGGGGTGTAGGGTGAATATCAGGGTCTCATGAAGTCTGCGCTGGCCTCCAACTTGCTGTGTAGCTCAGGATGGACTTGAACTCCTGATCCTCCTGCCTCCACAACCCAAATGCTTGGATTTCAGACATATATCGCCATGCCTAATTTTATGAGATGCTAGAAACTGAACCCAGACATTCATGCTGGGCAAGTCCTCTACCAACTGTGTCACATCCCAAGCTCCTACTGGCCACGTTGTAGAAGGAGGCTGAGGCTCGGCCCCAGTATGTTGTGTAGTTATTCCCATGCTGGTGATTCTCTGTGGATTTCTCTTCTACCCCACCTCCTCCCTCCATGCCACCCAGACATCCTCCCACGTCTCTACTCAGGTCTGCATCCAGGGACCTGAGCTGCCCGGACCCATGGCTCAGCCCTCAGTGGTAATGGAACACTGGTGTCTGCCCAGTCTGCCCCGCCCAGGACTACCTATGCTGTGTTCTGCCTTCTTGGCTTTAAGCATCCTCTCCTGGCTAGGGCGGCACCAGCTCTCCATTGCTGTCAGCCTTTGGGGACATTAGAGCCCTCCACTCCATAAAGGGAACTGCTGTGTGTCATTTGAACAATTCGCTGCCCCCAGGAACTCTTCCATCAGAATGGCTCCCTCTGCTGTTTGGAGTATCTCCACCTCTCAAGGACCCTCCCTGGCTCAGCTTTTTGCGGGGGTCAATCCTGGTCTTCAGTCAGATCTAGATTCAAGTCAATGGTGCCCGTAGCATCTTGACCAGCTATCCAGAGGCACCGGGCACCGGGAACTGGTGAAGGGGAGTGCAGAGGCTCAGACCCTACCTGACACCCCAGGACTGGGATCTATGTACTATAAATGGCTGCTGCAGCCACTGTGGAAATTAGCAGGCAGGTATGGCAAACAAACAAAACAGGATGACCATGTGACCCAGTTGTGCCACTCCTGGGGTGTACCCAAAGGAGTCCAACTCTGCATGTCACAGGGACACGGCACACCAGTGTCCATTGCTCTTCTAGCCTCAGTAGATACATACAGAGCCAGCAGATGAGCAGATAAGGAAAACGTTGTTGCATATGCATAGAGGAGTACTATTTAGCCATAAAAAAGAATGGAATGATATCATTTTTAGGGAAATACATAGAACTGGAGTCATCAGGTTAGGTGAAATAAGCCAAACACTTTTCTTCTCGTTATCAGAACCTATATTTCTATTAAGTAAAAGGGAGACTGTGGAGGGTGCCAGGAGGGGAGGGAGGATAAGAGAAGGGTGGAATTGATGGAAATACATTGTTTACATGTGTAAATGTCATAGTGATTCTTATTTACAAATAATATACACTAATTAATACAGAGAGACAAAAGAAAGGCACTGGCAGAGGGGACTGCAGACGGTGTGGATAGACGCTCAGGTTCAGATCCCCCATCTTCCTTTTGCACACACACACGGAAAAGAGAGTTGACTTTGGGGAACATAGGTCAGTGCTGGGATAGCACTTAGTGTCTGGAGGACACAGAGCAGCCGGTGGGAATAGTAAAGTGGTGGGAGACAGTAGCCCCCTGGGGGACTGGGGAGAGAGGGGAGCAGCAGGTGCCTTGGTGATGGGGGAGAGACCTGTAAGCAAAGACGGGATGGGGCAGGTCCCCGAACTTGCCACTAATGGCGAGATTTTCAGCAGGGAATGGGTGACCTTCAGGGGCAGAAGGAATGGAAAGATTTCTCATCAGGTGGGGCCGAGCTGACAGTTAATCCTGTTAGCTGCACTTCTTGCCTTTTTAAAAAACAGCTTGGTGAGGTCAACTCTGACCCGACACTGATGGGATTGATGGGTCTGCAGGAATGATTTCCGTTCCCTGCAGTGTCTCCCCAGCTGAGAGCCAGCCAGGGTCCGCTCCTCACTGAGCTCAGAGACACCTGGGGGAATCCAGCCTCAGCCTCCGGTGACCTTGAATGGGGGTCACCTCCATCCCTGATGCTCTCATTTGAGAAGTGGGCTTGGTAGCCACGGAGCCAGAATGACAGACAGTGCAGAAGTCCCTGTGGATCCCATGGGCTTGCTGCTGGTGTGTGTGTGTGTGTGTGTGTGTGTGTGTGTGTGTGTGTGTGTGAAAGTCAAGTAGGGCCATTGCTGGTGAACAAGTATAATAATCAACAATTATAGTCAAGGGCTAGAGAGATGGCTCAGCGGTTAAGAGCATTGCCTGCCCTTCCAAAGGTCCTGAGTTCAATTCCCAGCAACCACATGGTGGCTCACAGCTATCTGTAATGAGGTCTGGTGCCCTCTTCTGGCCT